CCAGTGGCCTCCAGGGAGGGACAGCTTTCCTCACTGATTTTGTTTTTCTTTGATGTGGTTTACATTTCCTTCTGCCATTTACAACCAAACCCTGCCTTTCTAGAAATGCTAAAGGGAGTCTTTTAGATGGAAATGAAAGGACACTAGACAGTAACTCAAATCTGCTTGAAGAAATATGAAGGCCACCAACTGGAAAAGATAACTGAAAAGGTAAATGTAAAAGACAGTATCGGCCAGAGGTGTTAGGGTCTGTCTGCCTGTCATCCCAGCCTGAGCAACTGAGTGACACTCTGTCTTGAAATTTAAAAATTTTTAAAGGGCTGGGAATATGGCTCAGGGCAAAGGCCCTGGGCTCAATCCCTAGTGTGCATGTGCGCACACACACACACATACACACAGTAATATAAATGTATTTTATTGTTTGTAGCTCTTCTCCTGATTTAAAAGGTAAGCACTTATAGAAGTAAAAAAAAAATCTGTGTGATGGGTACACAAAATACAAAGGCGCAGAGCAGGTAGGGAACAGAGGCACAAAGGAAGTTCTTGATTGGAACTCATCAAAACTAGAGTGCTATAAATTAAGGTATTAACTGTAATCCCCAGGGCAATCACCAAAAAAAAAAAAAGAGAGAGAGAGAATTAAAATGGTACACTAGAAAACATGTAGTTAATAAAAAAGGAAAAAAAAAACCTCAGTAATGTGAGAACACAGAAACAAAAATACAAAACACAAATAGAAAACAGCAAAATGCCACACATAAATCTTTCCCTAGCAGCAATCACATTAAAGGTAAATGGATAAAAAACTGCAATTAAATGGCAGAGATGGGCAGCATGGATTTAAAAAAAAAGTCCAATTATACAGTGTCTACAAGACACTTGCTTTAGACGCAGAGGCACAAATAGGTTAAAAGTAAAAAGATGTAAAAAAATAATGTAACATGCAAATACAGTATGTGCACAATTTTTTTTTTTTTGTACTAGGGATTGAACTCAGGATATTGCACTTACGAGGCAGGCTGCAGAACCACTGAGCTAAGTCCCTGACTCTGTGCACAATTTTTGAACAAGTTCCATTCTTGGAAAAGTGTTCATGTTGGGATTTGTTCATAAGCCGACAAAGTGAGTCTTATACAGTAAACCAGTGAAAGTTGGCAACTCAAATGTTCGTAAGTGTAGGACTTAATGTAGTAACAACAACAACAACAACAAAAAGCTTTAAAGCCAAAATTACTTCTAAAGACAAAAGATATGCTGACAATGATTTTGATAATGAGCATTAGTGTGATAATGAAAAGAGGATAATTCAAGAAGTTCCAGCAATCATATACGTGCATGCTCCTAACGAAGTGCCAGACTACACTGAGCAAACCTAACACAGCTGAGGTGACATCAGCAGTAACAGCAGTCACACACTGCATAACTGCATTTTGGTCCTGGACAGACTGTGTACGAAGGACGGCCTGGGAAGATTACACTGGAACAGCAGGCTTCCTGCCGCCTGGTGACACCGCAGCCATCTGAACTTCGCAGCACCGTGTACTCATGCGTGTTTGAGGTACATGTATGAGCTTGTGAGTTGCTGGGTGTTTCCTAAAGCTTGGCTTGTTCAGAAGGGTGGACAGCTCTGTCCCCTTTCTCCCTGGACAGTGAGTCTGTTTGCTGTCGCTGTAACTGAACACCACAGACTGAGCAGTTTATTCCTAGGGCTCATTCAGGCTGGGACTTGGCGATCAGGTGATCGAGTTGGTCAGACCCCATGTTATGAGAGATAAAGCAAACTGCTTCTTTACGGTAATTCCTTCAGATCTCCATCATTCTCCATTAGAAAAGGAGCAGCCCACAAAGGGAGAGGAGGAAACGCAGTCACAAGTCGCTGAGCTTCCTCAAGGGAACAAGTTTTCCTAGCAAGACCTCAGCGGCCCTGGGAGGGTGAGGCATCTGCACGGTCCCTGGAGCTCAGTGAGGCGGGAGATGAGACATCATGTCCACAACCGAAAATTTCATCAAAGCGCCCGTGGAGGAGACAGAAACGTCCTTACGAGCCACAGACATGCAGACTTGGATCCAGGCATGGACCCAGCAGGAAGCACAGGCTTCTCTGAGGAGTGCGGAGATGGAGGTCATGGGCACCACACGGGCCGTGGGGCTGGGTTACAGGCATTCCCTGAGTTGGCAGAGGGCCCTCCTGCCTGGGCACCCGGACTATGAGCAGAGAAATAACTTGACTAGCAAACCCGGGAGGAAATGGACATGCTCCTCCCACTGGCCGTGAAGAGCCCAGAAGGAAGGGACACTTCGCACCCTTGTCCGGGGCAGGTCCCCTCGGCTCATGTTTTGGGGACATCTGGATGGAGCTCAGCAGAGTCTGGTCCTCCATTCCTGCCCCTCAAAGTCTCAGATGCTCATTTTTACCAAGGTCAGAGGAAACCTCTGCCTTCACGGGAACCTGGCTTCCAACCCAGAATGATTCAGAGGCCTCGGGATGCCAGAATCAAGCCCACGTTGTCAGTGTTTTTGCATAAGTGGCACCTGAATGCTGCCTAGTTGGCTTAGCAGAGCACAGCCGTGTCTCCCCACCTGAAATGTTGACTGTGAGTTCAGTCGGAGCCGAGCTGAGCAGAGCTGGCGGAGTGCTGAGTTTGTCAAGTGCTCGGCACACCCAGAATGCTGCTGGGAGTGACCGTCACCCTGACACCCGCTGCCAGGTGCTGCGCAGAAACACCAGTAAGCTGCTTTTTAATTCGGTACCAGTGACCAAACTCAGGACCTTGCACTTAAAGACAGATGCAGTGCCACTAAGCTAAATCCCTATCCTGTAAGTGGTTTTTAAAAAATGGATGGAAATACTAGGTTTATGATTTTGTAAGTGAAAGAAATTGAACATTATTTAAAAATGAATATCAACGTCTTTTCTACAAGCAAACACTGACCTTGGGGACACCCTCCAAATTCCCATCAGTAACCTAAGTGGCTCCTACTAAGTCTGCCAGGGGCCCCTAAGTGTCCCCCAAAGCTTGTGGTCCCCAGATGTTGGGGGCACTGTGAATGGACCCACAGCCAGGCCCCAGGGAGTGTGGCTGTCACCTCCTGAGCAGCCAGGACACAGATTACCCTGCTTAGGGCCGCGTGGGGTGAGTGGGTAGCGGGGGGCCGGGCAGTGAGACTGGGGTCTGCAGACTTGGGGCTGCTCCTCACCATTCTCACGGTTTGCTTTAGATTGAGTAAAACCTGCCCCATCCCACTTGATGTTGCCATCTCCTGGGGGCAGGACCTGCGGCCCTGGACAGCAAGTGCAGGCGGCCACATCCTGGGTTCAAAGCCATGGGCACCGCGGCTGCAGCTCAGGTGGCCTGGGGGAGCCAGGCAGAGTCACCTGCACCCCTGCACTCGAGCACCCCACGGCTGATGCGTGACACAGACAGATGAGGACCCAGTCCTGCGCCAGTGTCCCTGCCATCCAATGAGGGCATTCCTGTCATTCTGACTGGCAGGGCCTATGCTTTCCCAGGTACCGGTCTGCGGGTTGCTTGCGAGCCCAGGGAGCTCCCGGCAGGAACGGAGGATGGATCTCTCTGCTCCTGCCTGAGAGGTCTCAACCTGAGCTGAGGCTCACGTTCCAAGCACTGACTCTAACATAAAAGCAAGGTGAGGATGCCTGCTGTTCAGCTGCCCAGGAGGCAGCAAGGATCCTGGGAGCCCAGGGGTTGGAATCCAGCCTGTGGGAGCTGCCCAAGACCACAGCTCACAAACCAAAGACAGAAGCAGACGTCCACAGCCAGCACCACGGCAGCGGCACTCAGTCACAGAGCGCACTGGCATCTGACGCCCCCGGTCAGGGCAGCCTCGCAGGTTAGGAACAAGGAGTCAGCATAGCGGGAACCTGACTGGTTCCGATCAGGGTGCTTTGTCAAGGCTAAACAGACTTCTGTATCATGCTCGGGTAAACTGAAATGGCCTACATTCAAGGAAAACTGGTCCGCGTTAGGGTCTAGCTGCTTCCTTAAAGTTTCAGTTTATCACGTGGCATCCCGTGGGGGGCTCTATTGTAGGTGGAGACCATATGGCGAAAGGGCACAGCGGGCAATTCAGCTGGGTAGAAAGGCTTCTGACGTCTTAGAACCCGGGGAAACTGCTTAAAACAGTGAGAAGAGGAGCTGGGCAAGGTGGTACAACTGTGGGAACTAAGGCAGGAGGATCACAAGCTGGAGCCCCACTGGGGCAGATCAGCAAGACCCTGTATCAGAATCAAACATGGCAAGCGGCTGGGGACAGAGCATGCGGGACCTGCCCAGTGTGTGTCAGGCCCCAGTTCCATCCCTAACACCGGGGAAAAAGCCCTAGCAGAGGGGACTGTGAGGTTCCCAACGTAAAAAAAAGTAGCAATCTGCCAACCGCTCTGATCTGACTGGGACACTTATGTGCACATGTTGAAATACTCCACACTTCTGCATAACTCTGATGTGTAGATTAAAAGCAAAAATACATCGCCTGAAAAGGCAGCCCGATGGGGGCACACTACAGGCCTCTGCGTGTCTGGGGCTCCGGGCTCCCTAATGTCCCCACGGCTGTCGTTCCATCTCACCCTCCTTGGACTCCTGCACACGCCCAGCAGGCACTGGGCACCCAGCAATCGTCCTTCCCTGAGATGCTGTCCTCAGCTCTGTGCCCCCTAAGTGCCCGGGCGTCCCTGCCCACTCCACTGTGACAGTGCGGATTCTGTGCACAACAGTGCCGCCGCCGCAGGAGGGCCTGGGTGGGCCTGGCTCCAGCTCGTCCTCCACAGGCCTGGCTCTCTGGTCGCTTCTGCCCACCCCTGCTGCTGGCCTGGGGCCCAGAAGCAGGAGAAGGGAGGGCCCACTTTAAGGGCACAAACTCCAAAGAGCCCGGGCCCACAGCCAAAGGGACACAGGGAGAAAGCAGCATCCTTGGGCCTCAGGGGCCATCACGCTACTTGGTGTTCTGTGTGGACGTGAACAAAACCACAGCTCACACTCATCTCACTTTTTTATTAAAATAGTTCTTACTTTCTAAAGACAACCACAGAAAACACACTTTTCTTCGTCATCGGTCATGAGAAATACAGTGAACACAGACACTGGGGTGCTGACTATTTTGAAGCCCTTCAAAAAGCTTTCATAAAAAGCTAAAAATGTGCCTTGTGATGATTATGCAATTTTCCAAAAAAGTTTTAGTTTCTTTTCTCTATTTTGATGCCGTTTTAATTTATAAATATTTGTTCAAACAGTCTAACAGTTTTGCTTTCCAAAACTTTAGAATCGTATTTCTACACAAAGACCTGCCTCTTAGGGAAACAGACTTTAGATTTTATTTGAACGATCATGTGACTTGGTGTGACAATTATGAAAACAGCTGCAGGGATGATGAAATGTTATGGGGAAAACAGAGCTGCCTGTGGGCACGCACATAACGTAGGAAAGGCTTTTTATACACAGCTTTGACAGCACTACTGATTTAAAAATCTAGTGTTTTGAGATCTGATTACAATAGAGGTAACAGGCTAATTTGTTATTAAAAACAAAAAGGAATTGTTACCAAACCTTCAATACAGGAATGAATATGCTGGAATGGTGAAGGGTCCAAGTTGCAGCGAGACTACTGGCTTCTCCCATGTGTTACTTTCAGTTTGAAAAAAGCAGTATTACTCAGAACCCTGAATGCATTTCAGAACTGGAAATGGAAGCTTTCAGGTGAATTCTGTCTTTTTCTCAATCTCTTGCAAACCAGAAGAAATAAACAAGCTTAAATATGAAAGATCACCCCGCTGGGGATACTTTCTACCAGGAGAAAGAGGGCGATGAAAAATCAGATGAAGTAATGTGGTTTCCAAAATTATCCACTGTGAAATTTAAGGAGTAGAAAAGAAATACTGACTCTTTAATAATGAAGATCTTAAAAAATGATAAATGCAGTTAAAACGTTTGCTGGCATCGTGAAGAAAATATTACGAATGTTGCCAATAAACAAACACAGAAAAGCATTCCTCCACTCAGGTGCCACATTAACCCGAAAACTAGCAGGTTGGAGTGATGCAGATTCCTTTAACATTTCCTCTCTGTGAGTTCAAGAAAACCTCAGCTTTCTCAGAGCAGAAGAAGAGAGCTGATGAATTTTTAAGGCTCTTTGAACAGAGGCACTCTAGGTAAGTAAGAAAGGACACCTCAGTATTTTCCTAGTAAAATATACTTCTGCGAGTTAAATCACAACTTCTTAAAAGGTGAATGTACCTTGAATACTCATTAGAGTTATGTGGAAGAGAAGAAAAGGTATCAGGTATAATAATTGTACTATCTCAAATGATCTAACTAGTGTTCGGGTAATAGTGCACAACAGCTCCCAGATCATTATCTATTTTATATACTAAAAGATGCAGACATATTAAGGAGTACCCCTAAAAAGTTACTTGTTCACAATGCACTGGAGAAACCTGTGACTGTGCGCCCTAGCTCTCGCGCGGTATAGCTCTGCTCCGGTCGGGAGTCTGCTGGAGCTGGGCCTCCAGCTGCGCAGGACCCGGGTGAGTAAGCCGCCAGGAGCCCAGCGGGGGAGTGCTGTAGGTATTTGGAGTGGACTTCATCTTCAGCAGAGATCTTAAAATTCAGAATCTTCACTTCCCGCAGCATGATGCTACTTGCTTCATCAGAACATTAGATCCAGATATAAACTTAGCAAATGAAAGTAAAATAACACAGCGGCATAAACACTTAGCTTTTCATGCTAGCTCCCAGCGTTCACCCTGCCCTGTGCCTCTCCCTGAACCTCTTCGCTTCCCCTCCTGTCACACACCTGCTGCCCAGCCGGTCGCTCTCATGCCGTGTGGCGCTGACGTGGCAGGCGCCCCCCAGCCCAGGGCCGCAGCCACTAGCCAGTCCCCGGCAGGGATGACTTCCTTCAGGTGACACCAGCACCCTGGATGGGCGGGAGAGGAAGGGACAAGGTCCCTACAGCAGAGTCAGCCAGTGCACTACAGGAAGGACTCCGCTAGGTGGGGGTTCTTAACTGTGAAAGCCAGAAAGCACCTGCCTTCTGAAACCAACGAGGAGGGTCTGGGCCGTGGAGTTTCCGCGTGGGCTCTGTGAAAGGCAGGTCTGAGTCGGCGCCATCGCAGAGTTCTCGGTCTAGCCAGGCCACGCGTGGACCGCTCACAACTCCCGTCCCAGGCTCCTGCTCACACTCCGGCAGCCAGAAGGGAGTGGATGGGAGGAAAACAGCACCAGATTTTCTGTTAGAGCCTCAGGCGTTTCAAGGGACGCTGCACACCTGCTTCCCGTCTGGCCAAACTGCACCTGTTCCAGGGAAGGGAGGTGCTGCCAGCGGGCGGGAAAGACAGGAAGTGCTGCACAGTCACACAAGTTAGCACACTCCCGGGCAGGTCGTACTTTAGAAGTAACTCACTCCAAAGTCCTGAGTGACTCTCCTCACTCTCCTTCACGACTGAATGGCTGTGGCCGAACCCCTCTCCCTCAGAACATGCAGCTCATGCACTTGACCGTCTTGCTGCCGTAGTCGATGCACTCGGGCCCGACGCACTCGCAGCAGGCGTTGTGGAACCAGCGGTACTTGGAGGCGCCCATGGACTCACAGGAGATCTTACACTGGTGGACGGACATGCAGTCGTCGAAGTAAACCACCGTGCACATGTGCTCTGCAAAGCAAACACGACGCTTGCAGGCGAGGCGGGCCCAGCAAGGCTCCCTCCCCGAGGGCTGAGCAGGCTGAAGCCAGGTACAGGAGGAGGGCCGCATCTCTGATGTGGGCAGGAGCTCTCCCACTCTGGTTGAGGGAGGAAAAGGGCCTACAGGCTGTAAGCCACAGAGCTTGCTAGGGGGACCCCAGGGTCTTGTGTGTGCCAGGCCGGGCTCTGCTGCTCCTTTACATCCCTGCCCCAAGCTGTTCTCTTTTTTTTGGAGGTACCAGGGATCGAACTCAGGACCTTGCGCTTGCAAAGCGGGAGCAGTGCCACTAAGCTAAATCTCCAGCTCTATGTCTGTGCTTTTTAAACTGAGCATTTCTGATGAGACTTCCTAAGAAGAGAGAATTCTCTGACCAAAGGAAGTTTGAATAAGATGATTCTAAGGTTATGTTGAGAATTTACAATAAAGTAAAACAAACTCAAATAATTTGAATGATGTACAGTGACTGGCAATGCTTGGTACAAATATGGGATTATTTGACAGGGCTGGGGTTTTAGCAAAGTGGCGCTGAATTCACCTCGAAAGCACAAGGTCCTGAGTTTGATCCCAAGTACCTCAAAAAACAAAAACAAAATGTGGGATACTGGAAAATATTCTCATCACATTAATGACAATTTCCAGTCCTAATTTCTAACATGACAATCACTCCTGATTTGCAAGTCTCCTGCTGGTTAACCCTGTAAGACTTCCTAGCTAGGAGTATAGGTGCCTGAACTAAATCAAGGACAAAAAACCACACTAAACTGAGAGCATATGCTCAAAGGTGAAGCCATTCTCACAGAGCCATTCACGGAACAGTAATCACCCCCGGTCTGAACAGGCTTGCATCAGGAAGAGAAGCCAAGCTCTGGCCCAGGAGAGGAAGTCACAAGCAGGGGGTGTGGGGTTGCGGGGCAGAGGGCTGCAGGGACACTGCAGGACCCCCACTGGGATGCAGACGGGACCTGGCTTAAGAGGAAACCTGGGAAGTGCTGTGACACCAGACCACGGAGAACAGGGTGCTGTCAGTGAGCGCAAGTAGGTGCCTTCAAACCTCCTACATCCACCTCATCTGTGGATTCAGAGCGGCTGCTGACCACTGCCAGGGAATGGCATGAGGGACCCAGAGCACTGAGAGTCAGGAACTGTGTAGGAAAAAGCAGACCTGCAAGTTACAGGAGGTGCGGGGTGGCAGGTGTCAGGAGGCTCTGCCCGTCTGTGAGGACAGCTGCCCATCGGAGGCCAGCTTCCTGCTGATTCCCTCAGGAGTCTCAATAACCTCCAGCGGAACATTATGAAGGCACATGTACTACCGACCATACTGGTTATTTACATTTTACTAGCAGGGTAAATGAAAGCAAAACATCTTATCCCATCCTGTGTATTTCCAATGTTTCCCAAAACCTAGAACTTGTTTTATAAAATACTTTAATCTAAAAGGAAATAATTCTTTCATTTAATAAATGCTGTTTTGCTTTTACTATTCATGTTCCAAGTTCTATTTTATGCAGGCAGGATTATACTGTTGGCTACAACAAACAGCCAACTAAAGTACAAATTAGAGTATTGAGACATAGTTCATTTCCTGCGTTATGAAGTAACTGAACTTTTCATAATTGCCTCATTCTACAGTGAAACTGTGGGATGCCTTTTATTGGAAGATATCCGACACTTTTACAGATCTTGCTCACCCTTTACTTTCTAAAGTTACGCTGGGCCGTCCCTCACTAGTGGATGTTCTTTAAATGTTTCCCTGTGCCATCGAGTCTTCCTCTCGCTTTAGCTCTCCTGGGCTGGCACTTGTGCAGGGGACCGGCCAGGCTGGGAGTCTGCGCCCTGACTGCCCACACAGAACTCAGCCAGCGGCCTTGGCATCATCTGTGTCACCAACGCCAGGACAGCCTGGCTCCCCAGGCACCGTGGACGTTGAGCTGAGCAACAGCATGCAGCCAGGTGCATCGCACCCTCTCGTGAGCAAGTTCACGCTGAACTTGGAACAGCGAGCTCTTCCAACCAGGACAGCCAGGCCGGACGGTGCTCCCTGCTTGCTCGGGGACCAGGTGAGAGATCCCAGGCCTTTCTTGGGACTGTAGTGGTCCCAAGCCAAGAGGCTGCCCAGCTCCCAGGGACGGAACCGAGGGGTGAGAGGAAAGAGTTACCTTTGTCGCTGGAGTAAGGTGCGTGAACACTATTGCTGGGGACAGACACGTTCTGGTGGTGGGGCTGGTTTACAGTTTCCAGGAAAGAAACCAGGTTCTCGTGATGAGAAAGCTCCTCCGCGACGGGGAAGGACACGATGTTCCAGTTGAGCTGGGTGTCCCCTTCGGTGAGCGCCCGGAAGAGGGAGGGGATGGGCTCGTGCAGCTCCTCCACTGTGCTCTTGGAGGTGGGCGGGGTGTCGCTGTAGTTTCGTGGGTTGCACATCCCTGGGGGCAGAGGCACAGGCTGGCCCCACGTGCAATGAGCTGTGGGGCCTCGAAAGCTGCTGAGCAATGTCCCTCAGCGGCTCTGAGCACAGCCAGGACCAGATCCTAGAGAAAGGCGGATTCCAGGCCTGGCAAGGAGCTTTTCCCCCAGGAAGGGAGGAGCCGGGAATGAAAGGAAGGACAGGAGGTGACCTGGGGGCTGCCGTGGGCCTGCAGCTCAGCATGGTGCCGCCCTGAGCACAGGGGACCTGTGAGCGCACTACATGGGCAGGGTGACCCCTGGGGGCTGCAGCAGAACCTATGGGTGCCCTTTTAGAGTGTAAGTTAGCTTCACTCTTGTTTACCATCGATGAGGTCTAATGGGTAGTTACTTGTCTTCTCCCAGATTAAGGGTTTGAAAAGTTAAACCATATTTAAAAGGTCCCAAGTCTTATAGATTCAGGGAGGAGAAAGAACGCCTCACTCACTGTTTTCTACATTTTGATAAGGAGCAGAGAAAGAGCTAAAAGGGATAGGCTTTTCAACACCTCTCAACTTCAATAATCAGACTGTATCGAAGAATCACGGATTAATGGTCAAACCTGACTGACCCCCCCCCCATCAGCCCGGACACTTAAACTCGGGCAAAGCCAATGTCACGCTGAGCCCGCACCGGCCGCTGATTTCCTGGGGACCCCGCCCTGTAATGACCCTCAAGTGGCCTGGGGAAGCCACCCCATTCACAGCGCTTGTTACACAAACGCTGTCTTCTGCTGCACTGATGCTGAGTGGAGATTTGTAACCAGAGATGGTCCAGAGACTTTGCAGCAAGCCCAGTGCTCATTACCACGGAAATCAGGGCTCCAAAAGGGTCTGAAGTCTTGGGCATTTAGAAAATTTAGGACAAAAAATATTTGAAATTTAAATTATAAAAAATCGGGCCAGAGATTTAGCTCAGTGGTTCCACCAACTGCCTTTCAAGAGCAAGGATCTGTATTCGATCCCTGGTACCAAAATATATATATAAGTAAATAAACAAATAAATAATGAAAAACCAGTATTTGTAAATAATTATTTCTTAAATCCTGCACCAATTCCTAGCTGAAGAGTAACAGGCACTGGGTGCAGATGACAGCTACGTGCTCTGACAGGACTCGGGGTCACTGCCACCCTCACCCCACCCTCAAGAGGAGCTGAATGACATACGGACATGAGCAGAGGGGACACAGGACGGTCACGGAGCACAGGGGCCACATGATTCCTACCCCCTTCCCACGAGCCATCCGGGCCTCGGTTTCCCTATATGCCACACAGGTGAGGGCAGTAACACCCTCCGCTCTCAGTCGGGCCTGGGGGGCCAAATGAAAGGCCTTGAGAGATGCTGCGTGGGTTTAGCAATTGTTCTTAATTTTTGGCCTTTTTTTTTTCACTGAGCTACATCCTCAGCCCTTTAAAAAAATTGTTTTATGTTTAAGGCAGGATCTTTCTAAGTCACTAAGCCCAGGCTGGGCTCAAACTTTGGATCCTCCTGCTCAGTCTCCCACTACATCCTCCCCTTTAAAAAAATTGTTTTATGTTTAAGGCAGGATCTTTCTAAGTCACTAAGCCCAGGCTGGGCTCAAACTTTGGATCCTCCTGCTCAGTCTCCCAGGTTTGTGCCACCACTCTACTGCTAGGAGTTAAAAATAACAGGAGCAGTTGTTGGAAAAGAAAAGTTAAATCCACAGTTCAGGTATAAACCTGAGTGAACAGTGAGTGTGCTAGAGAGCTACAAGCAGACATGTAAGCAAGCCCACGTGAGCACCGCCAGTGGGTGGGACCTTCTGCAGCTCGCAACGAAGGGGAACAGAACATTGATGGAATCAGCTACTTCAAAACTACAACTTTTCAGGAAAAAAATGTGAAAGCAAGGTCAAAATACAAATGACTGATGGGAGAAAATACTTAGAACACTGCTCTGATCCTTGGTAATTTATGAATAAAAAAGTAGAGAAAAGGGCAACGTAGGAATAAACAAATCACAAAAAATAAATATAAATGGACTTCTTAACAAATGCTTAACTCCAGTGGTGATAAGAGGAATAGAAAGCTGGGCAGGTGCTGCACTCTGGGAGGCTAAGGACACAGGATCACAAGTTCAAGCCTAGCCTAGCGACTTAATGAGAAACAGTTTCAAAATAAAAAAAAAAGGGCTGGGACGTAGCTCAGTGTAAAGGCCTTGGGTTCAATCTCCAGAGTTGTACAAAAAGAGAAGTGAAAATTAAAATTAAAATTATACTTTTTTTTTTAACCTATCTTGATACAAAACTGCTAAGTTATTAACAGCAGTGACCAAAGTTTGGTGCTGTAATTTCTTAGTGGCAATGTTGCAGGGAGCAAGTACGCTGCAGAGCTCCATGCACTGGAGAAATCGTGACAGTGGCTAGTAATCTGACACCAAACCAACCGGCCCCACACGCCACCACGGGGCAGTCTTTGTGATGGTGAAACACTGGAGACCACCCAACACTGGTGCAGGGACAAACGCGCACAGAGACCACCACCGTCAACGCGCTTCCTTGCACCTGCACAGAACAGAGTATGGAGGTGGCTCCAGGGCACTCAGCCCAGTCTGAAATGACAGGAAGAGGAGGAGGAGAGAAGGGAAGAGAAGAAAAGAGGCTGCAAGGAGCTTAGCATCTTTGCAAAGGAAATTAGTGTTTTGCTAAGCAAACACAACTGCTTTTAGAAGTTCTGTACAGTGGCTGCAGGTCCAGTTTTCTTCAGCAGGCTCTGTCAGGCTCGGCTGGGCCCAGCCTGCCGCTGTCTCACTCTCCTGGCGTCTGGTCTGAGTAGGAAATGACGTGGTCACCTCAACTGTAGGTGAGGGAGGCCATGGTGCTGTGGTGATGCAGGTGGAAATAATCCTCGGTTATATACATTTGTCTTAGTCATTATGTAAATGTTTTGCAAAATCAAAACAAGAATAAATCAGAAAGGGAATAGTTCTCGAGACACCAAAAACAAACGAACCTCACTTTGCATGAAGCTGGTCACAGAAGTCAGAAAACTACTCCAGCGGAGCCTGTGTCCCAGTGTCTGGTCTCACACCTTCAAGAACACAGCAAAGCTTCCCTAACGGCCTCCCTGATGTGTTATGGACAAAGTGTGTAAGTAGTGGTATCAGTGGTGTTAGGGACCAAGAATTTCAGCTTAAAAGAAAAGTTTCCCGTACAAGAACAAGAGGAGGAAAGACCTGCAGTCTTCGACTGTCACAGGCGTTATCAGCTCAAACTCGGCCCCCAGCCTGCACCCAGTTTCTTAGCTCTGACCAACGACAGGGCCAGAAGATGCCCCCAGGTCCACACTGCAGTCCCCTCCCTAAAGAAATCGGGGGCAGGGCTCCACCCACGTGTGAGGTGACACTCAAGCCGCTCTCGCTGACAAGGGACAGCACAGTGGCGGTCACCAGGGAGAGGTGAGGCTTACAACCCAGGCAGGATGAGCTGAGCAGCCAAGTAAAACACTAAAAGTCCACAGTGGTACTTAACTAAAAGCAAGCAAGCAAGCAAGCAAGCAAACTAACAAACTAACAAAAAGAAAGAATCTCAAGGGGAGGTGCCAGGCCACAAAGCCAGCACTGAGAATGGGAAAAGGGAAAGATTAAGTATTCATCTTGCTTTTAATTTTCCCTTCTTTAGGGTAAACGAAGGGCCCTGCTGGGTATGGGTGATTCCAGTTGCCCTGCACTCCGGAGGGCTGCGAGGCAGGGCCACAGTCTGGAAGCTTCTACTGGAGTCACCGGCCCTGGCAATGATGACAGCGAGGGACCTCACACAGGGACCACAAGCTTTGGCTGGCTGGGGCCAGCGTCACCCACAGCACTTCTGTCCGCCGTGCCCACCTCCCCACAGTCCTGCCTGCATCTAATCAGCCTCTAGATCCAGCTTCCAACTTCCAGGAAGCAGTGAGGACAGAGCAAGAACTGAGTACTGCAGGAAGCAATCCGCCAAATCCACAAGGCGCTCGTTGTCCACAGTCACTGACTGGATACTTCAGAGAGTCAGTGGAATATAAAAGATGGGGGCGGGCATCTACAATAAAAGAAACCTAACAAACCTAACAGCCAGGTGCAGTGGTGTGGGCCTGTATGTCCAGCTTCTTGGGAGGCTGAGGCAGGAGGATCCCTTGTGTCTAGGAACAGGAGAGCAGCTTGGGTAACATAGCAAGACACTGTGTTGAAACAAATACATGACTAAAAAAAGAAAAGAAACCCACAACCAAGGACAGTGAGTGGACTTTGTTGGGTCTTCACCTGAGTAAAACAAATATAAACCACATTTTGTCAATCAGTGAAATCTGAGTATAAACTGGGTGAGCATCAGATGGTATCAAGAAAGTACTGCTAATTATTTTAGGTTTGGGAACAAAACCAGCAACAAGGAGCCCTAGGCCAGGGATGCCAAAAACTGCAGATGGTAGAGACAAGCTGGAAAATAAGGCAAGGAAGTAAAGATCTCCAGGGTTCTTGCCATCAAGGCACTGAGACCCACACGAGAGTCAGCAGACTGCCAAGGAGTGGGAGGGAAACCAACAGTTCCACAAAGCCCAGGAAAACATGGATGTTAGAGAGCAAGGTCAGTGTGTACAGTGCCCAAAGAGGACAATCAGAAAAGAGTGCTTGGAAGTCAGAGAGAAGTCAAGAACTGCAGCACACTCAGGAGGCCGAGGCAGAAGGACTGCAAGTTCCAGGCCAACCTGGGCTACACAGCGGGACTGTCTTAAAAAAAGAACTTAAAAATTAACACAGGGCGGGGGATTTGGCTCAGTAGCACTGTGCCTGCCTCACAGACGCCAGGTCCTCAGTTCCATCCCTGGTACAAAAAAAAAATTAATACAAAGGACAGGGGATGAGCTCAGTGGCAGAGTGCCTGCCTGGCATGCCTGAGGCCCGGGGCTGATCCCCAGTGCCACAAACACAAAGCAAAACAAGAAGTTAACACGAGGAAGGAGATGAGGACACCGTCAGGAAGCACACCCAGCACAGACGGGGCAGGCAACTCACTCACGCTGCGCACGCTGCTGGGCATCAAAGCTGCGACTCCGCTTTATGAAGCTAACTGTTAAACACTGCTCTCAGGAAAGCACTGACACAGCCGGAGGGCAGAGCGAGAGACGGCCAGAACCGCAGGACAGGGCGTTAGCTGACGGGTTTCAAATGAGAGGATCCAAACAGCAAAGGGTATTACGGAGAGGGGCCGGAGCAGAACGCCGGTGGCTAGGTGAGGACCAGGGGCAGAGGCAAGCGAGCTCCCGCGGTGGAGGGAGGGTTTACACCCACTGCAGGGTCCACCTCTCACACGTGCTCGCAGACCCCACACGTGTGCACACTGACACCACACGTGTGTGCATACGCCCCTGCCCACGTGTACAGGACCCCGCACACACAGAACCCCACACACGCACACAGACACCACACGTGTGCACGCGACCCTGCACATGTTCACACGGACCCCACACGTCCACATGGACCCTGCATGCGCGTGCACCCTGACCCCCCGCATGCGCACACAGGGCTCTGAGGAAGGGCAGGGGTGCGGGGGCTGCTCAGGAACAGGCGGGTGACAGCGTTCTACTGACACAAGCGTGCACCCGGCCTTTCCATTAATGCATCTCAGAAAGTTTCTCAGATGCTTCTTATAAAGCATGCTTTGTATCAGAAAACAAAACTGTGTTTATAAAAAACTCAACGGTATACCAGACTTCAAAGTAAAAAGCAACAAACTCTCCCTTGGTCTCCCCACTCCTCCATCCCTAAGGTAAGGGCTTTATTAAATTTCCTTTCAGATTTCTTTCTCTTTTCTGCTCCTTGCAGTTGTAAGGCAGGCGGCAGAACCACTGAACTAAATGCCTGGCTCCTTTCGGATTTCTTTCTTTTTGTAAATGCAGTGCAATATAAGCAGGTGAAATCATGTGTGGTTTCTTTGCACACCGTGTCTCACAGAAGTCCTCACTTATCGAGGATCCTATCGTAGGAAATACCAGGACCAAGCCAGGTGCAGTGGCACACACCTGTCATCCCAGCACTCGGGAGGCTGAGGCAGGAGGATCACTGCAAGTTCTGGGCGGGCCTGGGCTGCACTGCAAGACGCTGTCCCAAGACAAACAGGAGGAGAACAGCGTGCGGGCAGAGCGCCCACTCACTCACCGACGCAGTCGCAGCACTCGTCCCACAGGGCGCCCAGGCACAGCATGCACTCCTTGCAGCATGAGCAGTTCCCCTCGCCGGGCCGGCACTGGCACAGCTCCTGGACACAAGACGGCACGGCGTGAGTCCAGACAACCATCGGAAGCGCCCAGGTGTGAGCACCTGCATTTGGTAACCACCCTCTACCCGACCCGCACTCGGCATCACAAGCTGCAGACCACAGCTCCACGGTGCAGAGTGCACTTAGTTTTTCTTCTGGACGTGTTCAGTGAACACACACTGAATGCTTTTACTTTACTGCGAAGGAAGGAAGACCTTGTATTTCACAACCTTTAACTTTAAAACTCTACACCCCCTCAACACAAAACTCGGGGCAAGAACGAAACCTAACTTCCGGTATGGACTCGCCAGGGTGATCCACAGGCGTGGCTGCCGGCTGCTGTGGTCTCTCCGGCTATGGGGGCTGAGCAGGCCTGGCAAGGGGAGGCGGCCTGGGCGGACGCACATGCGCACACGCCCGACCTGTGGCCCATTACATGCTGTACTGCCATGGAGGACTATTTATACAAAGAAGGTGGCTGTCTCTCTGCTGCCTTCTTCATGGACCCGTGAGCCCGGGAGTTTTGTCCTTAGCTGAAACCGTGGACAGCATAAACCACCCTCATCATCATCATTACCATCCTTCCAGTATGGGAAGCAGGCACCCACTCCTGGTTGTGCAAATATGAATTAGAGTGGTCTGGGTACAAACATGCTATCAGTCAATGTGCTACTTTCAGACGATTTCAACAATTAATTTCAGGAAGATTTTTAAATGCTTTTAAAAAGTGTCCACTGCTATACAGCCATCTCTTCTCTATGTCAATAATGTGTGTTAGACTAATATCTATCCTGATTAAATTCATCTCTACTCTACTTACTGGAGTCACCCATCATAGGTTCTGACATGACATTTTAAAAAATGTATTTATTATTTTTGTATTTTTTTATTTTTGATTATATGGTTCAGGCTGGCTTTGAACTCACTATGTATTCCAGGCTGTCCTCGAACTCATGGTACTCCTCCTGCCTCAGCCTCCTGAGTGCTAGGATTACAGGCGTGTGCCACCATGACCAGTGACATTTTTTAAAATACTGATTTCAATTCTTGGTTTTTCCCTCCTCAAAACTCTTCTGGCTATCATACAGCAGCATTCTGGAGCATGGCACTCATGCTAATGAATTCAGCAGTGCTATGTGTCTGTCTGGGACCTGAGGGCATGAGCAGACCAGTGCCACAGGCTTCTGTGCCTGCAGGCGGTGTTCCATGGCGCACACATCTGCCAGCTTGGCCAGGCTTGATAGCCCAGGGGCTTGGGTGCAGCTCAGGGGTGGAGAGGGCCCTGGTCTTGATCCTCAGACCTGGGCAAACAAGTAAATAAAATAAAAAGAGAAAGAGAAGAACACCTGTGCATACACATGCTTAATCACAAACCCCAAATCTGGGGTGCGGCCAGGTGTACAGCGCTGACCCAACAAGCAGGAGCCCTGCACTCCCTGCCCATCTCTGCAGAAAGAAAGCAGCAGGCCCCAACTGGCTCCAAGTCTAGAAAACAGGCTTGTACCCTGTTTGTTTCCTCGGGACAGCCTGCCTTGCCTCTGGAGTGCAAGAGGCTTTCTGAATACACACTGTTAAAAGGCATCAGAGTTAAGGATGCTGATATTTTGTGTCTCTTAGTTTTACAAAGGTTGCCACCCAGTCACAAAAAATTTTAATTTACATTATGCACAGATAATCCCTTTATTCTCATAGTTGCTTGCATTTACATTAAAGAGAAACAAATTAGAAAAATAACACATTTATTCAAAGAATTTGTTTTTTTCTGCAGCTTCCAAATGGCAGCTTACTGAGTGAATTACTGCATGCGGTGCTAAATTTAAGTTTAAAAGCAGGTCAACTTCCTGGCTTCCACTAGCGAGGCCTTCAGAGTGCTCCAGCCAGCCAGGACTGTGGGGCTGTTTTACTGGGAAGGTGGCGCCACTAAGCAGTGGGACCTGAAGCCCAGCAGCCTGCGCAGTCGCCAAGCTGGCGTGGTGACCTGTCCCTGGGGACCCCTGCAGAGTCGGGGCCGGGACCCATCCATGACTTAGTGACAGCATCAGGACGACGGCAGGCAACTTCAGGAGAACACAACATCCACAGTCAGCGTTCAGCTGCCTGTGACCCGGCTCAACAGTTCAATACCCAGGACCACAGAAATAAAAAGTTCAGTCATCAAAATTACTGCTAAAGTAGTTAGATGCAAGCAACAATATCTTAGTATTTTTCTTTCCACCTCACTAACAAAAAAGACTTCTGTCTTAACAAAATTTAAGTACATAGTTTGTCATTTGAGTAAACATGCCACCAAATATGCCCAACACTACCAGTTCTTTGCAACTCACAGCTGGGGACTGTGAAGAACAAGAGCCTCTGACCAACCTTCCAGTCAGCACCAGAGCCTCTTTCAGTTTCGAAAACACGCCTGACACCTCCCGGAGGAGAGCGCTCGCAGATGAGTTTATCAGAGGGCATCTGGAATCTGAAAGGCCCCACTGCAAATCGGGAGGGCAAAGCCGTAGGGCAGCATTGCTTTATGACCGCTGTTCTTAAAGCAAGCAACAACCGCAAGCAGCGGATTCCACGACTGCTCACCACGGAAGGGGCCGGACACCGTTCACGCTTTCTCTCTCAGCAAACTTCGCTGCACTGGAAGCCTATGTTTGAAAGGTTTTAGCAGCAAGCCAACTTGCTAGGATGAATGTTCCTAATATAAAAAACACTTGCCAAATGCTCTGAACTCAAATATTGGAAACACAAAAGAGAAACAACTCAAAATATAACTGTGTTGAATCAAGGGTTATGTAAAAAAAAATTACCCCATTTAAATCAAACAGACTTTATTCAGGACACCTAAAAAGAAAACTTCACCTTTACATGTTTCAGTTATGAGGACAAAAATAAATCCATAATCAGAAAGGCTAGAGTCAAGACAGAAAGAAATGCTCTGCCAGGTGTGGCGGTACATATCTGAAGAGTCCCAGCTATTCAGAAGGCTGAGGCAGGAGGATCAGCTCAAGAGTTCTAGAGTAGCCTGGGCCCACAGCTCAGAGAAAAAAAATTTTTTTTAATGTTATCTTAAATTATAAAAGAATACTAGAAATGTCTACTAGAATAGAAAGAGAAGAAATAAAAAGCCAACCAAATTTCTCCTACTCTGGTAAATTCCTATGCATTTCTAACAAAATAATGATTATGACTTTAAAAAATAAGTATTTCACTATTATGAAAATCTGTCACTCTAATTTTGGGGGGGGTACCAGGGATTAAACTCGGGACCTTGTGTTTGCAAGGCAGGTAATGGCACCACTGAGCTAAATCCCTGGCCTGTCACTATAATTTAATAGGTGGATAATAGCACACCCTACATGCCACAAGTTCTAATTTACATTATGCACAGATAATCCCTTTACTCTCATAGTTGCCTGCATTTACATTAAATGCAAACAGCCCTTAAATTCTTCGCCTCTTCCACACCAAGGCCACCCTCTCACCTCCAGAACTCCCAGCTTCTATTTTACTACCCCTGTGCCTCAAAGTCACTGCTTCTTACACAGAACACACAAGGAGCTGAAATGTGGACTTCTCTTTGGACTGGGTTATTTATATATTTTCCAAACCCCTCCATGACTAAACTTGGGTACAGTTCAGTTGCATGGAGCATGTGGTCAAACCAAACACAGTGTTCACAGAAGTCCAAAATAAAGACTGACTCAAAGCTTCCGAGAACCCTCCGCCTGTCTCCTCCAGAGCTCTGAGGTGCTCTCCATGTGCACTAACAGGCCCATGTTCAGTTCTACTCTCGGAGTGCCCCAGTCAAGGTAGTTACTATCCTCGTTAATCAAGTGATGTTGTGAAACTTACACACCGTTCAGTTACTAAATGGCTGGTTTGATTCCAGTTGTAGTTAGATTATTTCAACGTTTTTAAACACTGGAAAAATAAAGCTTATTTCTCATTTCTCATTAGCTTAATATTTCAATATATTCTGGCTGGCTCTCTCTTATCCTCCTGTCCCCTTAGCAGTACAGGGGATTGAACCCAGGACCCTTACTTTTATTTTTCAGACAGGGTTTCACTAACTTGCCAAGGCTGGGCTCACAGTTGGGACCCTCCTGGCTCAGCCTCCCACAGTACTGAGGTTCTAGGCACCCCCACCACACCTGGCCTACTCCTCTTCCTCAGAGAGCATGAGCCATAACTGGATTTACACAGTCTCTTGGGGTGTTGAATCGCAGGCATTTCTCCGCCTGGGCAGGGATCGGCTGCAAATGCCTGCAGCGCCCACGCAGGCTCACTGCAGCCTGCTGAGGCGAGTGAAGCTACCCAGGGATGCAGACTCGGCGTCGGGTTCTGCTCCACGCTCCTCTGCTGCGCAGCCGGCTGAGTGACCACACAATCTGCTGTGCCGGCTGTGCCACCTGAGCGCTGGCCACAGCAGTTCCAGACTCACACAGAGGCAGCCTGGACCCCAGTGCCCGCCCGAGCTGTTCCTCCACTGGGGGCTGAGGTGACCCGAACCGGGCGTGCGCTCCGTGTGTGAAAAATATAAAAGGATTCATGTGGTAAATATTCAGAGTGGCCAAACAGTTGCTAGATATGAATGCAAGTACAGTGGACCCTTGAGTTATGACTGACCCAACATATGAACAACTTGGGTTATGACTGGAATTTTAGTTTTAACTTAGGACCAAAGTCTTGAGTTAAGATCCAAATGCCGGCTGCTTGTGCTTCCAGATGGTCTCAGATACAGATCTAACGCTAAAGAGGCTGGGGATTTAGCTCAGGGGCTCTGCTGCTTGACTCACAAGTGCAAGGTCCTGAGTTCGATCCCCAGTACCAAAAGGAAAAAAAAAGAACTTGAGTTTTGCTAGGGATTTAGCTCAGTGGTACCATGTCTGCTTCACAAGGATAAGGTCCTGAGTTCAATTCCTGTTCTGAAAAACTAAAACAACTGAGTTTTAACAGTTAAAGATTATTTATTTATTTATATTATTTTGGTACTGAGACTCAAGCTCAGG